TAAATAAATCCTCTTCTTAACTTCTACTTCTACTACCTGATAATAGTATATATATATTTATTATTACTTATACTTTCTTGCTCGGGAATATTATAGATATTGTCACTCGCCCCTCAGAAAAACGTGCTTTTCAGATACACCACAGTCTTCCTCAGCAGGCCGACTAGTTTATGATGATTCTTCTTCAGGGAAACGGAAAGTCCTCCTCTTCTCCAGCTATATATGCTACATTTGTTACTCCTGTGAATGTACTTACCACTTGCACTCAGCGGTGACTCGTAGTTTCCACGCCATCTTCAGCAACGTACGATTGATTTTCCTTTACGGAGAATGGCATGCCACTCTGCTGATTACATGAAATTTTCCGCATCACCTGAACAACGTAACGCTACATTTGTTGTGCTCCTTCACATCCTTGTCCCTCCTTTGTTTATGGGATAAATAAGACCACAGCCCAGAGGACTATGCCAAGAGTTAGTGAATCAAGCCTAGCACCCCCAACATCGCAGAATCAGGACAAGACCAGTTATGAGGCTAAGGCGGAAACCAGGTTGCAGGTACCCTCTCCTCCATCGTTCCAACTCCAAGCTTCCCAAAGGGGACACAAGCAGATTGTTTTATCTGTATTAGGGACTGAGTCGGGAGGACAAATCAGGCAGTTGAGAACACAGGGAGGGGATTACAGATCTTTGGCACAACCATCAATCTTGGTTGTTCCAGTATTACCAGGCAGTGCACAGTACAGTGATCGGAACCAGCCTATGACATGTAGAATATTGTGGGCAGGACTTGGCAAGATACCATGGGGTCATTATTGATATGCCTCCAGGCTGACATGGTTTTCAGGAACCATTAAAATTCGCATCCCAATCCCACATTCACCATTTTGGCAGAACGAAGCCGATCCTCCAGTCAAGCGAATGACCATTGGGCATGACGGCAATCATAGTAGCTCCCTCGTAGCTCTCCATTCCGTGGAGCAGTTGTGAGACTGCTTGTTTTGTTCCAGATACTTCCAGCAAGGCAAGAACATTGCTTGGAATCTAAAGTAGAGGTTGTGCGAGTGGGCAGCTAGTGCAAGATGTCATGTTGTCACCTCTTATAGGTTCCTATCTGACAAAGTTCTCATGACCCTACACCTATCTCATTCCACGCCCAGGTCATGCCTTCAGGACAGCACAAGATGTTGCTTCTAACGACTTTGATCCGCTAGGACATGTTGAAACTTGAGATGCCCCACTTTGGCTGATAGTTTCCATTCGCCACAATCTTGACAAAATGTTTCATTCCAGAATGTCCTGCTGGGCATAAACCAGTGGTCATAACCAGCATATGAGTAGTAGAATCTAGTGGGCAGGACTTGGCAAGATGCCATTCGGTCGTTACTTGAATGTTCCAGGCTGACATAGTTTACCATGAACCATTACGATTTTCAGCCAATCCCACAATCTCCCATTTTGACTAGAACAAGCCGATCCTCAAAACAAGGGCAACGGATCCATTGGGATCATTGACAGGCAATCAAGAGCTCCATCGTAGCTCACCATTCGTCGGAGCAAGTTTGTTGTGACAGCTTTTTGCGTTTACCAGAACATTCCAGCACAGGCAAGCAAAAGATCAAGTGTCGGAACTAAAAGTGGTAAGTAGGGTCGACGTGGCGAAGGCCACCACCGAACTAGATGTCATGTTGGTTACTCTTATAGGTTCCTAATCTGACCTCTCAGAGTTCACAAGATCCTTCACCAATCTCATTCCAGTCCAGGTCATGCCTTCAGGACAGCACAAGGATGTTGACTTCTACACGACTCTTTGATCCGCTAGGACTTGATAAACAGTTAGAGGCCCCAGTTTGGTGATAGTTCCATTCGCATCAACTACTGACAAATTGTTTCTAGTCCAGGAATGTTCTGTGAGGCATAAACAGTGGTCATAACCAGCATATGAGTTGAATCCATGTGGACAGACTTGGCAAGATGCCATGGGCATGATTGAATGTTCACGGTTGACACCCACCACCGCCCTCCCCCCGACACGGGATTAAGGAACCATTAAAATTTCATCCAATCCCACATCACACCATTTGTCAAGAACAAGCGATCCGCACAGACCAGGCAAACTGATCCATGGGGACATTGACAGGGCAATCAAGAGCTCCCTCGTAGCTTCACATTCCGCGGAGCAGTTGTGACAGCCTGTTTCGTTCCACAGAACATTCCAGCAGGCAAAAGAACAGTGGTCGGAAACTAAAGTGAAGTAGTGTCGGGTGGGCTGCCAGAACTTGATGTCATGTTGCTTACTCTTATAGGTTCCTATCTGAAAGGGAGTTCACTCAAAATCCTTCTCCAATCCTCATTCCACGTCCAGGTCCATGCTTCTGAGACAGGCACAAGAGATGTTGCTTTAACGATCTTTGATCCGCTAGGACATGATAAACATTGAGATGCCCCACTTTGGCTGACAGTTCCATCCAGCACAATCATGACAGGTGTTTAAATTCCAGAATGTTCCTGCTGGGCATATGCAATGCTGCGACCCCACTTGTGAAGATGTTCCTGAAGGACAAACAGTACTGGTGGTGTGTTGGTGTTTTTTATATGTACCTGGTAACAACGATGCCACGAGCCTTGCAACTGATCAGTCCATCCAAAAGCCATACATTTGGACAACGGCACGAGGTTCCTTGGTCAATGACACTTGAGACCGAGGGACTCGCCAAGCACTGAAGAGAAATCCTTCTTGACTTACAGAACCATAATTATGCACAAGCTCTCACACTGTAATCTTGCCTGGCCTCCAAATACATGCCCGCATCACAGGAGCAATATTACTTGAGCCGGTTGCGATCTGCTTGTCCCTGGGCAGGGGGTACAGGCAGTTTGAGTACTGTAGTGGGCGGGGCTTGGTAACTATCTGAAGGGGCAGTAGTAACACGTGCAAAACACTTTGGTTTTTTCCAGGAGGGCACGTGTAGGAAGCTGCCAAATGTTAAGAACACTTCCTCTAGGGTGCGGCTGTTCGGTGTAGGATGTAAGTACATGAAGGCCAACTTGGAGAAGGACATTGAACGTCTTCTAGAGAAGGGTGAACAAACGGTTTTGGAAGGTTTGGCCAGTTCATACCATAAAACTCAGCCCTTGGAGTTATTAAATCCCAGTTTCTTTTCAGATAGCATTTGCTGCGTTGTCATGAATGAAATCACAATACTGTCCCGCTGTATAGAGCCGTAGGTCCCACGTCTTGTCCAATAACAGGGTTATTCACTGCGTCCACCAGCTGGAACCCTGAACCTGATAATTACAATCTTCATATCCTTAGTTGTTAACGATATGATCGAGTGGAGATTGTTAATTGCAGAATCATATTAACAGTGTATTTAACTAAAACGTACCTTGCGCTTCAGCGCCACGGATTAAAAAGGAAGCAGCAGGATACAATCCGCGTTTCTTTCATAATTGAGCTCCTCCTCAGTGAACAAAACTCAAAAATAATATCACCTGTTTAGTTCCAAGTCAGAAAAATAAGTGACGTGAATCTTGTCACCATAGCAACATCACGATAGAAATGGTAAAGTGACGTGAAACCTGAATCAAGATAGAAGTTGTATCGTATTTGTTTGTGATTATGATATTGAATGTGGACGTGTATGCAGCCGGAAAGTGCAGGTGCTTATCTTTTCAAAATTTTAGGCAAATAGAATCATTTTATTCATCTGATTGACTAATTCAAACCACTCAAATTTTGAGCGCAGCCCTTTTTTTGTAGTTGGTGCTAGATATGATGCAGCACCTAGGCTACATATTAGGTTTCTCAGATAATATCACATGATGTTTTTTTTGATAATATATTTTCATATTTTGGGTATTTCTGGACGGTAATTCAAATATAGGATCCACGTAAGTTCCAGGATTTATTTGTATTGTATTTCTTTTGCATATTTAAATCATTCATACTATAACGCATTTTGTATCAATAAGGATTTCTACGCAAAATATACTGAACAAATCAAACTTGAATCACAAGGAAATATTTCTTAAATAATTAATTACCTATTCTGACCACTTTTTCTGCCACAGTTACATGACTGATCATACGTCCCCTCTTTGATTTATCAAGTGAGGATTGAGCTTGACCGGAATCAACATATTCTGATTAATGTCTCGATCAAACAATCAATTAAAGAAATGTCAGTTGATAGTGTGATACGAACCTAAGCACCAGAAAGATCCTAGAGTTCCATTATGTGCAAGCTAGCTCTTTTTTGGTGTATAACGCATTCGCCACAATAGGGCATGTAGTCTGTTTACCTACCCTTGTTGATACCTTTGATATCCTCTTATTATGGCAATTTCTATGCAGTCTGAACTTTTTTGGTTTTGTTTGATTTCATGTTTACTAAATTCTTCTTTGTAGGTGCTCAAAAGTTAAACTTGTTTCAGTTACAGGTGGATGCCCGCCAACGCCATCATGAAATACAATGTTTGGAATAAAGTGCGCGACATCACTCTGATGAAGGAAAGAGTTGAGGGTATGTTTCATTAATATTACATTTTACATTTATATTATACCTTATACAATATACAATATTACAATTATACATCTGTACATTATTACATTATACATTTATACCTTTATACATTTTATACCAAAATTTAACTACCTTATACAGTTGAGGGTATGTTCATCTATTATAAACGTTTCGTATCTAATTTCTTGGAATAATTAAGTTAAAGATATGGTATTCATTAATATTATACATATATACATTATACATTATACGACCCCATCCATTATATCTCGGTATGGCGGAAGAATTGAATATTGATAAACTCAATACCTCCATTTCATCCCAAATGTTTTTTTATATTTTCGTTAAGAAGATTTAATGTTTTAATATTCTCTCTCAACTCGATCATCAAACCCAGGTTCGGTCTAAGAAGATGTGAGATCTCCGAACGGAACAATCCGTAACATCCTGGCGGAAACCGTCTTCAGAGTACACTGCGTCTTCTACCGCTGTTAAACATCTCATACAGGTGGGGAGGCGGGTAATGTACACTGTTGTTACCTTTACGTGTAGCTGGTACCTTGGTATTTGACCCCTGTTGGGGACTGGCCCGTGGTACCAGCCAATGTTTACTCAAAAAATATATATAATATCAATGGTAATAAGAAATTCATCCCCGTGGGGCACATGCATAAATATAAAATGTAAAGGAAATCTCAAACTATTCAATTTAGATTCTACCGGTAAAGTATGCAATGAAGGTTTATAATTTAAAGTTTTATTTTCCAATGGTTAATAGGTAAAGATAAGAAAAGTAAAACAAGACTGAGCACTTCAAAATTTGTAGAATTTGTAACTTGATTTGAAATCGCGGCGATAAAAAAGAATGTCCTATGTTGGCAGTGTAATTGATGAGATATGCGACGTTTATTGAGTGATGCATAAGTGTGTGCATATAATCTAAGATGTAGAGACAAGGTTATTATCGGCATTTTGGTTTATGTTACGCTTTGATTTTCTTAGTCCTGTTATACAATATAACATGAAATTAGGCCAATCGTCTTCGATGTTTTCATTTTGCTGATCGATGAGCATAGTTTTTATACAAGTTTTGTAAATGTTCAGGTTAAATAGACTAGGCGGGGAAGTTGCTGCAACATTATATCGGTTTATTGCTAATAATGGACCTTTAAAAAATACTGAGTTGTTGTAAGGGTGTTGACCATACTTTTCTGACCATTGTGTAGTGAGAATAGAATCCAGGTTAGTATTAAATAATGGTGCACTTTTGGGAATTGTTTTCTTGAGAGACAATGGTACTAGATTAGGAAAGTTTTTCAATTTATGCATTAAAATGAGTGCGTTCTTTACAATGATACTGTGTACTGTCAATATTTTATGTGAATAAAAGCCAGACTTGGTACTTGCTGGGGGGATACCGTCCTTGTACCAGTAATTGACGAAACCAGGTAATACTGCTCGAAGGCCCATTTTCTGTTTTACAAAAAGCGATTCAATATGAGACTTGGCAGCAAAACCCCATACAAGGCTGCAATAATTAAGGTGTGACTGCACAAAACTTTGATAAATTTGAAGACGTGCTTCGAGAGGCAGATATTTTTTAAGTTTGTACATGACTCCTATGTATCTGGACATTTTCATTTTCATGGCAGAAATATGATGGGACCAGTTTAGTTTATCATCTATTATAACTCCTAAAAAACGGGCTTCTGTTTTTCTCTCAATTGTGACACCAGAAATTGCCACATCACGATAATTAAGATTTCTTTGTCGAGAGAAGATCATATAATTTGTTTTCTTAAGGTTGAGAGCTAAACCATTATTATCTACCCATTTAACTAAAGCATCGCTAAGAGTTATTAGTTTATCGTAAACTTCATTAAGATTTTCTCCTATCAGGAAGATGTTGGCATCATCTGCGTACATAATGAAATTTGCTATTTCTGATATTTGAGGTAGGTCGTTTATGTAGATTATAAAAAGTAAAGGTCCTAATATTGACCCTTGAGGCACGCCGTATAAAATTTGGTTGGTTGAAGATTTTGACGAGCCAATTGATACAAACTGTTTCCTGTTAGTGAGATATGACTTAAACCAGTTTAAGGCTTGACCCCTTATGCCGTAATGGTCCAGCTTGCGCAAGAGTATGGAATGATCCACAAGGTCGAAAGCTTTGCTGAAGTCGATTAAAAGAAGTAAAGTTACCTGCTTTTTAGACATTGAATTAAGAATGGTGTCTTTTGCGTTGAGAAGAGCATGTTCACAAGACCTACCCGGGCGAAAACCGTATTGGTTTTCACATAGTATGCTGTATTTATCTAAAAAACAACCTAAAAAACTTATAACTCGGTTATGCATTAGCTTTTCAAATACTTTAGAGAAAGAAGCAAGAAGAGATATTGGCCTGTAATTTTTTATGTCAGATTTAGATCCACCTTTGTGAATTGGGACCACCTCAGATATTGGCCTGTAATTTTTTATGTCAGATTTAGATCCACCTTTGTGAATTGGGACCACCAAAATTAAAACAACTCAATTTAACCTCTTTAAATACCGAAATAAAGCCCATTTGTGCTTGTTCTAAAAGTTGGTTGATTATAAATGAACAAAGTCTTCAATTCTCAACTAACACTTTACTTCAGGTGATGATTGACTTCCAGCCAAATGAACAAAGAGCCTTCCTAAAGTTCGTTACAGGTTGTCCCAGACTCCCTGTCGGAGGTAAGCTTTAACAAATACCGACGTTAAATTCCTCAAAATAACTCGGAGATAATTCTTACAGTGAATGATGCCACGGTCTTGTTATTAAAATTCAACAAAATTTATCTTACTGTAGATATAAAGTATGTATAATTGTATAGTGTACATAATGTATAGTGTATACATAATTGTTTAGTGTATTATACATTGTATAGTGTACTAATATTGACTCCTCTGTCGCAGGTTTCAAGGCGCTGCACCCCCGTTTGACGGTAGTAAAGAAGTCAGTGGACGGACCACCTGACAGTTACCTGCCCAGTGTAATGACATGTGTAAACTACCTCAAACTTCCTGACTACTCAACCACTCAGTCTCTCAGAAGCAAGCTTCTCATCGCTATTAGCGAGGGTCAGAACTCTTTCCATCTCTCGTAACATCACGTGATTTGAATCACGTGACTTCTGTTTTGGTCTAATTTACATGGTCTCCGATCGCTTTCAAGACATTCTTTATTTGTTTCATCTCGCCGGATTAAAACACAATAAGATGACTTGTCGTTACATCACTGCAATTTTAAAGATAACTCAAGTTGATGGAGAAATAAGAAGTTGGTCGGTTTTTGTTCTGAAAAGTTGAAACTCCACGTTTTTGAGATGTTGTTTTCAACGTGTTGTGTTCCTGGGACAATCTACTGAAAAATATACTGGTCGAGAAAAACTCAAAATGTTGAGCAGGAATTAAAAGGAGCAATTTCATTATGACTCACATTGTTTTGTAATGTTTGGTAAAAGTGTGAAATATGCTCCTTAGAAAGGGAAAAGAACCAACGCCTTTCACCGACTGCAAATCTGATAACGGTCCCTGTGAGTGTGATATTGGCACGTTTTACCGTGATTCGTGGTCCATAACGTTCCCTTACATTGAACCTGACGAATATCAAAACAGAATCGTGGAGCGTGTAACACTCGCCTACAAAATAACCGTTCTTACAAATGTTTTACTGGTTACGCAGCATTCACAACTGCTCAAAGACAATTTTAAAATAAGGTTTAATTTATTTTCTGACACGGATCAACAACATAAATTTGTCTTGTCATGTGGATGATTTTTATGATTTTATTAGAAGGGATTAAGCGCGATCATGCACTAAATATATCAAGACTCTCTGAACTCAAGAATTTCTGTAGACTTTTACATTTTGGGCGATAAAAACAGAGATCTAACTCAAATAACAAGGAATGGGGCGAATTGGAATATGCGCTTTTAGTTTTACATTGCGAAGCAAAATACTGTCGATTTGATAACCGATAGAATTGTTAATTGTTGACAAACTTGAGCGTTTAATTTGTAATGTTGCAGAAAAATTAATTATACTTATAGAAGAATTAATTATAGATGCATATTTGCTGACTTCTGCCTTCTTACAAAATATCATCAGGTTACTAATAATATAATTATATCCCCTCATTAGTTGTATAACGTCGTGACCCCCATCGTATCACTTATATCCCCGTCGTTTCACTAATATCCTTTTTACGATACAGGGGGAGCCGCGCACTCGTGCGCGGCAGGTCTGAGGTCATACAACGTATGACTTCTCATACATCATACGTTGTATGACCCGCCCTGTATCGTTGAAACTCTACAGTGAAACTACTGTAGTGAAACGACTATAGTGAAAGACAGTGGGGTCACGACGTGATACAACGTATGACAACTCATTAGCAGTTAGGAATCCTTGGCACATAGCCAGTAGAAATCAACTTCCACAAGCATCTCTAATGGGGGAGTGTTCATATTACGTAAAATTACGTAATAGTATACAAATACGTATGAACTATCAATTACGCATTTTAGCAGCCCATGGCACTTTATGAGCTGCATTTCTGGTTTCACTGAATCACTAACCAAGCATTTATAATTGCATTGTGTTAGTGATCAGTGATCGAGTAAGCTTTTTGGACCTAGAACTCCCTACAAAATCTGGAAAATTTATCAAATGTAGGGTGGTCAATGTATATGGGCCACACAAGAAACTTGCAGAAAATGATCAACAACTGTTGATTAATTTTTATGGCCAAGTTAGGGACGCTCTAAACGTCCCTGCTAATGTTGAGATATTTGTTTTGGGAGATTTTAATTCAAAGTTGGGGAAAATGACTGCTTCAGATAAGGACTTTGGTTTTGGTCGTTTCATGGGTAAACATGGTATGGGTTTGCGCAACGATATGGGAGAAAACTTGTTAGACTTGTTATCAGAATTTGACCTCTTTGCCTCCAACACTTGTTTTTATCATCCTGCCCGACATACGACCACCTACACTGGCTGGAGGAAGGACTGGAGTGCCGGGCGAAATAGTAAAAAGACGATCCCGGTCTATTCTCAGATCGATTTCATCCTGTGTCGAAGTAGGTCGAAGCCAATGCTACAAGATTCTAGATCTTATGCTAAGATCACTCTCTCAAATGCTGTTAGAAAGATTCTTTCAATGGCAACCTTGAAGAGAATTGAGAATAAAGTCAATGCCTTCACTGGTCCATGGCAATGTGCTTACAAGCAGGGTAGATCATGTGCTGACATTGTATGGTGCCAGCGTGTGATGTTATCAGTTGTCCAGAGGAAGAGGTGGGAATACCATCGCATGGGGATCGACATGTCTAGTGCCTTTGACACTATACGACGATCTACCATCCTCGATCTTCTTGTTGAGTGTGGCTGTGATGATGACGAAGTCCGTTTGGTAAGACTTTTGCTTTCCAACACCAAGCTCAAAGTCAACATCAACGGTACACTGTCTGCTGAATTCCAGAGTTTTCTCGGTGCATTCCAAGGTGACTGTCTGTCTGGATGCTTGTTCACACTTGTCTTAGCGGGTGCCTTGCGTGACCTCCGTAACAGGCTTGAAACTGCTACGAATAGGCCTAACCCACCTATCACCGATATTGGTCTTCCACTTGACAGTGAGTATGCTGATGATATCGACTTCAATGATGAAGATGAAGACAATCTGAGGGAGCTGTTGCCTATTGCAACAGAAGTCCTTAAAGATTGGAATCTCTTCGTTGACGAAGACAAAACTGATTTCACTCATGTGTACTTAGCTGAAAAGGGAGCTAAAGACGATCAGGGTAAGCCAATTGCAGGGAACGAGCTCTGGAGAAAGAGTATCACGCTTGGCTCCATGCTTTGTAGTAAGGAGGACATCTCTAGAAGGATATGTCTGGGATATGCTGCGTTTAACAAATACAAGAAAGCTTGGAACCATAAGATCCCTCTGAGCAAGAGGCTTCTGTTGTATGAGGCTGTGGTAGTATCCGTTTTAATGTACAATTCATCTTGCTGGGCTGCCCCTAAATCAGTATTGGAAAAACTAGATATTGCTCACAGACGTCATCTGCGATCAATTTTGAATTACAAATACCCTCACATCATCTCCAACAAGAACTTGTATAAACGCTGCAATAGCGAACCATTGTCAGCTAAAGTGGCTCGTAGTCGGTGGAGGATGCTCGGACATGTACTGCGTGGGCCTACAGATGGCCCTGCCTATTCGTCGCTTGTTTTTGCTGTCAACACCTTACAGCTTCAAGGGCGGCGTGGAAGACCGCAGTCAAACCTTTTCTCACTGATTCTACACGACCTTAGTGTCCGAAAATTATCGTTAAATAATTTATGTGATTTGAACTATTTAACGTTAATTGCTCAGAATAGAGTTAAATGGAGAAGTATGCAAATTGCATGACTTTTGTTTGAGAAAGATTAGGGGACAGAAATGTTTACTTTGTTTACTATCTGTTTCTTAGAGCTTTTGTTTATATATATATTTTTTATTTTTATATTGTGTTAAAGAATGAAGGGCCCTGGGTTGTAGCGCGATGCACTACTGGGTCGCGCGCGCATCTAATAATGCTTCTCCCACCCATCTCGTACTCGTAGATCAGCGAGATGCACTTGTCATACGTTGTATGACCCGCCGCGTACGAAGTGCGCGGCTCCCCCTGTATCGTCGAAGACGATACTATAGTGAAGCGACAGTGGGGGTCACCACGTGATACAGAGATGCACCACTGGGCCTCGCCGAGCTAGGAAGGATTGACATCGTGAATCAAGGCCCTGGGGTTTATTAAATGTTAAAGTAGCTTCAGTCTGTGTATCTTTTGTAGGTTTACGTTTATGACCTAGGCCTACCAAAACGCGCGCCGGGTTGGACTCGTTGACGGTCTTGGAATAAATATTTTACGAGTATTTGTAGGTTTATGACCTACCAGGACGCGCGCCCAGTTGGACTCAATTATTTTACGAGTATCACCCGATAAACGAGTATCACTTGTTAATGTACTTTGGATTAACGGCTGATTTGACGGATGTTACTCGTCTAAATTTCTTCGAAGTAGCGCGCGCCGGGCCATTCCATTAACAATGGTCAAACGGCTGATACTCGTAAAACATATCAATAATATTCAAGACCGTCGACGAGTCCAATTCAGCGCGCGTTTTGGTACTAAGCTATAAATCTTCAAATCTTGGACCAAGGACGCTGATTCCTTATTTGTTATTTGGCTCTCAATCCCTGTGCGCGGCGCTCTTTCCAAGCTTCCTGAACAGGAAGCTTCTCTCTCCATACGTACGAAAATCGAGCAATAGACTAGCAAGCTAGGTACGTAAGCTGTTGCTCTAAGTCTAACCGGAGCCCTCTCGCTTGCAGTAGCGCGCGCGACTGCCAACTTGTGAAACAAGCGCGAAGCGCGTCACGCAGTACGCGTATACACATGGCTATGTGAACGTAAGTTGCGATACCAGATACTAATCTTTGTTAAAAAGCCACAATCACAAGAGGCAATTTATTTCGCTCCACGCTGTGGCCTAGTGGCGCCACGCCTGTATAAATACAAGTGCACGGCAAACAGTGCTTGCTTCTCTCACTGCTCACGTATGTACAGCGCTACAGTACATTGTACATGTATCAAATATTCAAATATTTTAAGTTCTCACCATACACCATGAAAGCTTTTTCACTTTTGCGCGTTTCACGTGTCATGTGTCAGGCCAAATAACGTCCCGTGATTTATGATTTTATTATTTTGCTTTATGTAGATATTATTAAACATTTGTTATAAAAAACCAAATGTTTGCTCAGTTGGGTAATGTAGTAAAGCACAGGATAAGTGTGACGTCATTTTATTGGTGTGACTTCCATTGGCCCTACAGCTGAGATGATGGTGGACTCAGGGGACGAGATTCAGATAGGAGGCAGGAGTTCAGGAGTTTATTAGGGATGTATGACGCTTGCAAAGACGCTCTTAAGACCATATCGGACGGGTGACAGCTAAGGACTAGCACGGCACCCTTGCCGCCACCAGTCGCCAAATACTCACTCGTTAGTTTGGATTCATTTTCTAGATTTGTACAATTTTGTGCCGTTCATTTTCTGTATTATTAATTATATGGTGGACATTGTGTATATTAATCTGCTTACGAAGCTGTCCATAATATTTATGTGAGTGACTTGCCAGTTCCTGTGACTTTCCCATAATAATGTGTTATTAGTCCATATGGGGTGTTGTTCATATACAGTACTTTATATTATTGTATCTAATTTTACTCGCTGATTGAAGTGGTTAACAATTTGTTTTGGTTTTTGAGTGATATCGCTCACACACCGTAATTTTGTAGTCACCCAAATCCTCACGCACCCATCCATCACTCACTCAAAAAATGATTCGCCGCCTTTGCTGGAGAACATTGCAAAAGCACGCTGCAAGCGTGTATCTAGCCTTTTAGTGTTTTGATCGTGTTTTGTTTTCCTCATAAATTGTATAATTTGCATGGTTTTTCACATTTATCGTTTTTATATAAATCAAAAGCACGACGTATAATGTAATACGCTTTAAGTGACCGTTTTGGTTTGTGTTTTGTTTTGTAATATGTAGTGTTTTTCCTGTAAATCTAATGTTTTTTATTAACTGTTAATTCAGTCTGTCAGTGTATGTACGCTGACTCTTTATACCCCCATTTTACAGATCGCTACTAGTCCTATATGACGCTAGTTAGAATGATAAATCCTGATCCGCCCAATCATTGAGCCAGAACCAACAAAGGTAAACTGTTCGTTTGTTGTCAAGTGTTGGTTGACCTTGACAAACTGGACATGTAAATGCTAACAAGGAGAACAATGGTTGAGTTAAAAAGAGTTGACAAATGTACCAAACGTTACTCCAGGTCTTTGACATGCATTCCTTGACGTGACAATAACCATAACAATTAACTATAAGATTTGCTGATTTGTCTCGTAATTTTGGATAACTGTGCATGATTTTCATCATACCACTA